AGAGAGCGAGACAGAGCGAGAAAGAGAGAGCGAGGCAGAAAAAGAGAGAGCACAAGAGCGCGAGAAACAAGTACAACTGGTTATTACATAATTTTGAATTCAAAATTGATTTGTTGACTCACAAATTAAAATTTCAACAGGGCCATCATGCTCTTTTTAAAAAAAAAGGGGAAATCTTTGAAAGAAGCAGGGTACTAATGTTAATGAACGGGGAATAAAATGCATTTTCCTTTAAATCACAGTAGCGGCATTGGTTCAGAAAGGGGCAGGGGTACGGCAACCTATGCATAAATACATGCTTTTCACAGTTAGTGCAATATAGCCCTCCGTTAGTTCAAGAACATTTGCGAAAAGGAAACAAAAATCCCATGAGAAGGTTCAAATAGGTTACTATACAATCAACACACAATGTTATGTACAACTAGCTACATTCGACACAGCTCGAATTGCATGTAATCTGTGTATAGAAGCAGCTAACACTATTTACTGTTAGTAATATATATATAATATATATTATATATATATATATACGTGTGTGTGTGTGTGTGTGTGTGTGTGTGTAAAAAAAGAAACCCCCTTTTCAAAAAGCTTATACTTTAGGAATTCATTTGATGCACTGTTTCCTTGTCAAGAATGTGCATCCATTTGTAATCTGAATGAGACACAGAAAGGCAACCAAATGAGAAGCCTCTTCCCGAATTCCGACAAAACGATGCTTCTTAATACATATCGAAGCTTTGAGAAATTCAGCTCGTTGTCCTACAACAATATGGCACCAAAACAAAGTAACAAACATTCCAACAAATGATTTCTTCATCCCCTTTCCTCGGGGCAAAAGTGCAAAGCGATATTGAACGAGCCAAATCCTCCTTCTCAAAGGTGTGGCAGCATTGTCCATTTAGAAGAATCCATTTCTGAAACACTTAGCTTTGGGAACCAGAGACTGTCCAGAGTATTGCAGATGGCCAGGCTCCTTAAATGCAAGTTCTGCTGTAAATCTCATTTCAGAGTCTTCTGAGGAAAGGAAATACAGGAAGAAGGGGGAAAAGAGTAAAGAGAGACAGAGAGAGGGGAAGGCATGATGTACTATACTGATAGCTTGCTGGCTTCGATCTGTCCACGTCCACAGAAACCAGGTCACCACAACTAAAAATGGCTCTTTGAGCATAGTCATCTTCAGGCTCTATGCAGCCACTATCCAGTAGTAATTCCAGCCCCTATGAGTAAAACAAAAGTGCACAACATAAGAATTTGGTTTGATTAGCTATCTCATCTCTTGCATCTTACTTTCCTTCCTTTGCAAAGCATAAAATCAAATTTGGCATTCTAGTACAACATTGAACGAATGCAGCACCATCAGAGGTGCCGTCTTTCAGCTGAGACAATAAATAGACATCCTGGCACCCTTTTAGGGTAAGTAAAGGATCTCCTAGCAATATTGTGCAGTCCAGCAACTGAGTTCTCCTAATGCCCTGGTCTTTCAATTAGTCGATGATGTAAACAAATTATCTGGTTATTTTCACATTGCCATTTGTCAGAGCTTGATGTGAACAAACTGGCTGTTGTCTTTGCTACATTACAACAGTGACTATACTTAAAGTCATTTATTGGTTGTGAACTTTTTATGATGCCTTGAAGCTGTGAAAGGCCTTGTATAAAATGCAAATCTTTTATCTTAACACAATAACATGAGTAGGCCATCTGATCCTATGAGCTTACTCTGCCATTTATCATCATCAGGGCTGCTCAACTCCACATTCCCACCCACCCACCTCCAATGAGCTTTCACCCTTTTTCTTTGCCAAGTATACATCCACATTTGCCTTCAAAACATTCAAGGAATCTGCTTTCACCACTTTTTCAGCATGAGTTCCAAAAGCTTATAACCCTTAGTGAAAATGTTTTGCCTTATCTCTGTCTTAAATACACAACTCCTTATTTTGAAATAGTTACCCTTAATTACCTTCTCCAAACGGCTTCTAACAAATTTACATCCTTCCTTAAATGAGGCTGACACTGCACACAGCTTTTCAGACGGTCTCACTGGAGCCCTGTATAACCAAAGCATAACCTCCCTACTTTGGTATTCAATGAGTCTCGCAATAAAAGATAACATTCTATTAGTTTTCCCAGTTACTTGTTAATCACCGTCTGTAACCAAACCAGTACATTTAAAGGACAGTTAGCAGTGGATTAATGAGGTATTCAAGCCAAAAGTACTGCATAGTATATCTGGGACATAGCATTTGCAAGGTAGTGCTTGCGATGTTGTGCAAGTGAGCATTCTTGCATATCTCTGTCTGGGCCCACACAGATACACTGTGCATAAGAGATGGCACAAGCCATGGGTTCTGTTTGTATAGTCAGAGAAAAGTGATGGATGAGATGCACAAGAGCATGGTGGTACAAGTCTCAAACATCTCCATTCTTCCCGAGACCGATTCTCTTCACTGCTTTCTCTGGTCCCCAGCCTTCCTACAAGATAACTATATCCCAATGTCAGTAACAGGAATACCAGCACTAAATCCAATGGAATTCCTAAAAATGAGACCCTGCACAGTTTTGCTGTACATATGGTTGGTAGGATTTGTTCACTTATGATAACATTAACAGATACACACACAATAAGTTGTGGTATCAGCCCAGTGTCACTTGGTAGCATCCTCAGCAACATTTATGGATCATCCCTAATTGCCCAAGTCAGAGGGTTCAAATTGCACTAAAATTGAACCTGCTCTTGGTTGAGTTTCCAGTTTGGAATCAGGGAACTTTGTACCAAGATGATCAAGTTAAAGATATTTGGGCTGAGCAGTGGGGAGCCATTTCCTGCGGGAGGACCTCCTATGGACTAGAGTGCTCTGGGTAAATTTTGTAGAATCAGGGAACAAAGAGAAAACCCTTGCCCCTAAAATCCAAATGACTAGAACAGATCATGTGCTCCTCAACACATTCAGCTTCATTAGACAGTAAATGTGCACAGTGTCAGGATATAATTCTGCAGACAACTGGTTGCTTCCTGATTAACAACGTTTGCCTTAAATACACATTCCAAATAATTAGAGAGTGGACAAAGTAGAATCCCTGCACTCTTTGGCTTACAGTGGAATGACTTAATTATACTGATGTTATATGAGACTATATCAGCACAAAGCTTCATTCTGTATAAAGCTGAAACCACTTTTACCTCAATACACCACTTAACATTTTCCATAGACGCTCTTACCCTAGTCCCCAACACTGCAACTTATTTGGTTTCTTCTCTAATCTCCCCTCACACCCAGCCAGAGACTTGACTCTTGTTCTTTTTGCCTTCCTGATCTTTCTGTGAGAGATTGTCATTGCCTGCCCTTCAGGATTTATTCAGTTATGGTAACATTAACAGGTGCATACACAATAAGATGAGGTATCAGCTCTGAGATATCAGTACTGCTCGCATCCCCTTTTTAGAATCATAGAATCCTTACAATGCATTAAGGGGCCATTTAGCCCATCAAGTCCACAGTGACCCTCCGAACAGCATCCCAGCCAGACCAAGAACACCCCATCACCTCAACCTATCCCCATAAGCCTACACTTACCCCGGCTAACCCACCTAACCGGACATCCCTGAACACTACAGGGCAATTTAGCATGGCCAATCCATCTAACCTTCACATATTTGGGCTGTGGGAGGAAACCGGAGCACCCGGAGGAAACCTACACAGACACAGGGAGAAGGTGCAAACTCCACACAGTCGGCTAAAGCTGGAGTCCGACCTGGCTCTTACCATCACTCCCACCCTCTCCTCAAAACTCTCATCCTTAACCCCACTGACCTTTATGCCTATTTCCAGCCTGACCTTCCTATCCAAAGTTGTTGAATTTGCTGCTGCCTCTCAAATCTGATTCATATTTGAATCCATCAGGTTTCCACTTTTTTCTGCAATGGAATGTCCCTCAATTTCACCCAATATAGATGCAGTAAACTTTTTCTTGACCTTCTCAACTAGTCCACAGCTTCCTTATCGAGTGCCTCTCCACTACCACCCAGCTGGGAGGGAGTGCACTTGCCTGGTGGTAGCAAGAGTATCACTCCCAATAGATGCACTTCTTGCTCCTTGTCTTGCTACCTTAGGTGTCCCAGAGGTCTTTCCTCTGACCCCACCTATTTCTCAGCTACATGCTCCCCCTTGACAACATCATCTGAAAACCTAACGTCAGGCTGAACATTTGCACTAACGACATGACTCTACCGCACCACAATCTCTCTCAATCCCCAACTAAAGCAAAACTTATCCAACATCTAGTATCGGATGATCAGAAATCCCCACCAGCCAAATACTGGGAAGACTAAAACTATTATCTTTGGTCAGGGCACAAACTCGGTCGGAGACTATATCAGACATTTACGATCATTGTTATATTCGACTGCAATTTCTTTCCTACTTCAACTTAGCTCATACTGAAACTCTCAACTATGTCTGTTACCTCTATTCTCAACTATTATAATGTACTCCTGGCCACTCTTCCATCTTGCATAAACTTGGACTTATCCAAAACTCCTTCCTAACCATTTCTATTTTAAATTGCTTCCTCTTTTACCACTGTGATTTCAGCTGCCTAGTTCCCAAGCTTTCTTACCCAAATCTCTCTCCCTCTCACCCTATCCTCAATTAAAATGCATCTTAAACCATCCCTCTTTTCCTGACCTGTCATAAAATTCTCTTCAATAACACTCCAATAAAGTGTTGTAGGATGCGTAACAATGTTAAAAGTGCCATATCAATGTACGCTGTTGTCGATACAGCAATTCAGCTGTAATGTGTTTGGGGCTTGCAGACTAAAAGCAGGAGAGAGGAGAAAGCTGTGACGTAAACATTATTTAGAAGGTAAATTACCTAGCTTTCACCATTTAAACTCAGGATGATACCCATACAAACTGCTCAACAATAACCACCAGAAACAAAGTTTTAGCAAACAAACTTTGAAAAGTTAGTTTGATGATGTGGGTGTCATTGGCTAAGATTGCATTTACTGATAATCCGTAATTGCACTTGAGAAGGTGGTGGTGAACCCGTTCAACCCTCAATGCAGGATGTTTCAGTTGGGGGAATCCACGATTTTGATCCAGTGACAATGAAAGAACAGTGATATATTTCCAACACAGGCTGGCGAAGGGCTTGAAAGGGAACTTGGTGATGATGGTAACATTCATCTGCTGTCCTTCTATCTAGGACAGGTCGTAGGTTTGGAAAATGTTGTCAAAAGAGTCTTGCTGAGTTACTGCAGTGCACCTTTTAGATGGTAACACGGCTGCTACAAAGCATCAGTGGTGTGGGGAGTGAATGTTTAAGGTGGTGCACGTGGTACCGATCAAACCGGCTGCTTTGTCCTCAATTGTTTGGAGTTTCTTGAGTGCTGTTGGACCCACCCCCATCCAAGCAAATGGGTAGTATTCAATTACACTACTGAGTTATGCATTGTACATAGTGGTCAGGCTTTGGGGAGCAACTTATCTGTTGCAAAATTCCGAATTTCTGTCCTCTTGTAGCCACAGCATTTATATGGCTGAGGTCAGTATACTTTTTTTTCCCTCCTCTCTCTCTCTCTTTCCCCATTCCCACCAGATGCTGCAAATGGTGGTTTCAGTGATGGTAATTCTATTGAATGTCAAAGAGAAATGGTTGTGTTCTTTCTTTTTGGTGATAACTACTGCTTGCCCACTTTAATGGCAAGAAACATTTGCACCACACATCAACCCAAGCCTGAATGCTCCTAGGGTCTTAATGCATTTTGAATATTGATGGCGAGGTGTCAGTGAGTGTTGGACTGGAGTGGACAAGGTCAGAAATCACATGACACCAGGTTATAGCCCAAGAGGTTTATTTGAGAACACAAGCTTTGAGTCTTACTCCTTCCTTAGGTGTTAGTGAGAGGGGTAGTATCAGGCACAGAATTGAAAAGTAAAAGATCAAGGGTCACACCATTGATGAGGATGTACTAAACAATCCTAAGATACTGTTAAATTTTTAATCAGTTAGAAGGTTTTAAGTGACTAATATGTATATGTAAATCCTCGAATTCCTTTCAAATCCTGGTCCTAAGAAAACTAAATGTTTTATCAGTGTAAAGAGGAGGTGATATTTTACATCAGAAAATGCTTAGGTGTGAGGCCTTGTTTAGAATCGGTTTGCGTTTTGGTTTGGAGTCAAACTGGTTTTGTTTCTAAAGTGGGAAT